AGTGTATCTACCACACCTCCCAGTTTAGTGTCATCTGCAAACTTGCTGAGAGTGCAGTCCACACCATCCTCCAGATCATTAATAAAGATATTAAACAAAACCAGTCCCAGGACCGACCCTTGGGGCACTCCGCTTTAAACCAGCTGCCAACTAGACATGGAGCCATTGATCACTACCCGTTGAGCCTGACAATCTAGCCAGCTTTCTATCCATCAAAATTACATCCCACATATTTTCCTATTGCTTCATCTTCTGTGTTACGTATAAACTGGGCTTATTTATTAATTCTCTTAACTATTTTTAAATGAATTTAGTGTTGGTGGAAGATGCTAGACCAATAGCACTGAAGAGTGAAGTCCTCTTTTTGTTCACAAGGGGCTAGATTCTGCAACCATTACTCATGTTGTTTTGCATTTACACAGTTAAATTCCTCCTTACAAGGCCTGTGCACCACTTGTGTCCTATTTAGGTGTTCCAATATGGCTCCACTGGGGATCACAGGGCTTGTGCAAGCCCTGTGTACACTGGGATACATTTCACTTACAAGTCGTCCTATTGACTTTAATGGGACTACTCATGTAAGCGCTCACCAACAATGTGAATATGGGTTACACAATCTAGCCCCAGTGCAGCGCAGACTGTCAATGCAAGACTTCCTAAAATGCCCTGATATTGTGCCCTAACAAAGACCCGGAAAGACAACATTGTGAATGAGTCACAGTGACTCAGCGGCCATTCCTATTCAGTCCTGAATACTGTCAACAAATGTATGAGTGATGGGGGTGATATAAAATGGACTGAGATTAGAGCTGTGCGAAGGTTGGAAGGTCTGTTGTGTGAAGGATTAAAAATTTGGATTAGTTCTGAATGGGAATGAAAACTGAAAATTTGGAAATTCTCCATGAAGGACATTTTTTGAAATTGTCTGAATTTCAAATCATTTGAAACCATTTGTTTGGATTTCAGTTTTCTTTAAAGAAATTGTATATTATAATATGTAATAGTAATAAATCAATATGTTCAGAATGAAACATTTTGATTTTTTGTTTTGAAAGAACTTCACATTTTTGTAATAATATATATAATTTAATACAAAATTTAAAACAAAGTCACTTAAAAAGAAAAATCAAAACCTTTCATTCTGAATGTTTTTGACGTTGTTGGAATATTTTCTCTTTGGTTTTCTTCCAAAACTAAATGTTGGCCAAATGGACCCAATTTCATGAAGCATTTCAGTTCTGATGGAACTGCATATTCCAGGGGTAGGCAACCTATGGCACGCGTGCCAAAGGCGGCACGTGAGCTGATTTTCAGTGACACTCACACTGCCCGGGTCCTGGCCACCAGTCCGGGGGCTCTGCATTTTAATTTAATTTTAAATGAAGGTTCTTAAACATTTTATAAACCTTATTTACTTTACATACAACAATAGTTTCGTTATATATTATAGACTTATAGAAAGAGACCTTCTAAAAACGTTAATGTATTACTGGCACGCAAAACCTTATATTAGAGTGAATAAATGAAGACTCGGCACACCACTCCTGAAAGGTTGCCAACCACTGGCATATTGCAACAAAATATTGTTCTGTCAAAGTTTCTCCAGTCAGATCTAACAGAGATTGGTGGTCTGTGTGAAGTGAGTTGCTAAAGACTTGCTGTATTTGGAGAGGTGCCCAAAAGATGAAGGGCTCTATATCCCATCACCAATCTACTGAACTGTCCCAGTTCCCCTGAACTGCAACTTCCAATGCACTGAGATTTGAATGTTGGGCTTGTCTTCACTCCTGCATCAATGCAGTGGCATTGAATTAGCGTGTCTGGTGAAGACGCACTATGCTGACAGGAGAGCACTCCCCCATCGCATAATTACTCCACCTTAATGAGAGGCAGAAGCTATGTCAACAGGAGAGCATCTCCCGCTGACATAGCGCGGTGTAGACAGCACTTTAAGTTGATGTAAGTTACGTTGCTTGTGAGGGGAGTAGGGTGTTCACACCTCAGAGGAAAGTAAATTACTTTGACTTAATTTCTCCACTTTGTCCATGCTATGGCTTAAGAAATTCTTTCATATGAAGGGTTTGAATGATGTATTCCCTCATTCCCTTTAGAAACTGACACATTTAAACTCTCATCTCACTGATCCAGGAACTCTCTTTCACTAAAATAAGTCACAAAGTGCACAGCTGAAGCTGAGTCTATTTTCCAGGGCTCAGGTCACACAGGTCTAAGATAGCCCTTCTTTTTGAACTGAAGAGGCTAGAACATCATTCACATGCAAAAACTGTGCCTCAGAATTCCATGTAAGTATTACTCACTCTTGGAAGCACAGATTAATTACGTTAGCTTTCACCTGCCTAATTCTGCTCTTTTTTTATCTTTCATATTCCTTCATATTTGATATATGCTATACACATTATGTACCATCATTAGAAAGTGTCACTCCATCTTCACCCCTTCATTTTTTATGACTACTTGTCTCTCTGTATGTCTCATTATTCTTGCTTTCCTAGATGAAGAGTGTATATTTAAATAAGAAAAGAATAATTGGAGAAGGCTGCATATACAGTATGGTTTATGTTTGCAACGTGACGTACATGCAAGATGATATAGTCCTAATTGAACTCAAGTGTGTAGGTAGCCAGATACATTTTAGGTAATGAGCCAGTCAATTTTAGATCAGATGCTACGCACATCTATTATTTTTACAGCTGTGGAAAAAAAATATTCTTAAGCAAAACTAGCAAAATGTTCCTGAATGTTACTGCTAGTCAAAGAAACACATTTTTAGCCTTGGGCAAATTTTGGAGAATGATAGAATAAGCAAAAAGGTGGTAATAGGTGGGAGGTTGCCACTAAAACACAATGTTCTCCATGTATGCATCACAGAGCAGTTGAAATTAAAGTATGACAAGAGCCAGGTTGTTTCTTTCAAGCCACACAGATAAGTAGATACCTGTTGGAGGTAACATCTCCCGCTTCCTTAGGTTGCAAATTTTGTTTGGTACTGGCAGTTGTATCAACAGCCTGTCTGCACTCCCTACTGCTGTTTCTCCCCCAGCTGCCCTAGGTGTTTGACATTCTAAAACTGAGGAGAGACTTAATGGTGGGGTCCAAAAATATCTAAAGCAAAAACAATATTTAAAAGACAAAGGTGAGCCTTTCCTTCAACTTGACCCTCCATACTGGTGAAAGGTAGGTCAGTGGAAAGAGCTGTGCATTAAATACAGCTTGCTCTTGCTCAGATACCTATCCGAGAGTTTCTCCATGTGCCCTGGCTGCAAAAATTATCTCAGTGAAGGAGAAGATATGAGGACAGAGTAGAAGAGAAAATAATCAACAGAAACCGTATATAAAAATTACAAAAGTAAATGAAATGTGAAAGCATTTTATTTGATTTAAGAATAGTCTGTAAAAAATGCATATTTTCTTATTTCTGTGGGGAGAGACCATGGCAGGGGAGAGAAAAATAATTATGGAAAAAGAGGGGAAAATATTAATCTCTTTGAAATGGGATCCTAAATAGCAAATCCCCCTAACATTTCTTTCTAAATGATAGATCCATAACCAGGGGCAAGTCTTACAGCATTAGCATCCTACCTCACAAGGCAATTACCTTATTCCTGTCTTTCAGTTCAGGATCTAGCAATGAATGTGATAAGTTCAAGAGTGTGATCACAGCAAATGTTCTGATGGCTTAAAACCAAGTGCTGTAAGTGCTTCTGCCACTGCTCTGACTCTCCCTCCCTCGAGCTACTTTCCGTGCCTCGACTGTTGCAAATTAGTCCATGGATAAACCACTGCACTGGATACTTATTTAGCACTGTTATTTTGCATAACCAGAAGGAACAACAGCATTCAGTTAAACTCATGGAGTGAAATCCTGGCCCCACTGAAGTTAATGGGAGTTTTGCCATCAACTTCAATGGAGCCAAGATTTCACCCGTGAGCCATTAAAGCTGATGAGAACTACATTTTTTTCATTTAATTTATAACTGTATATAAATATAACATAAAAATAAATAGCAAGATTAAAAATCACTTGCTGAATAGTAGAAACTGATTCCATTTTTCAGCAATATGACTGAGTGCCAAGCCCTTTCTTTTGAAAGCATCATTTAAAAATTTGCCAAAGTGTTTCAGAAATAATAATAATGCAGCGCCAAATTCTGCTGTCCGTTACACATGTTTAAATCCCAAATTACTCAGTTAAAATCAACAGAATTATTCCAGGTTTACCCTGGGGTAACAAAGCAAAATCAGATCCAAAAGGGTTATTTTATTTTTAATATATATCTCCCCAATAAGATTATCACTGAAATTTTATATAGCCAAATATTTTAAATAAAATACTAATTTAAATGTCCAAAGTACTTTTTCCTCCAAAGGCTCTGTTTGTAACTGAAATCAGGTAGTTTGGGTGCAGTCTAGTACACTTTATGTTGTTACAGGTTCATTTGAGAGATGACATTAAAGAGAGCACTTAGAGTCACATGATGTTTTAAGGTCTGATCCAATGTGAGTCTTTCCATTGATTTCAATGAGCTTTGGATCAGGCCCTTACAGCTCAAATATCAAATGTAATGCCAACAGTGGCATGCATTCATGTTACATATAGATCCAAAAGGGGAAAATGAAACAAACATAGGAGAGCACATTTTGTGAAGAAGAAACAATCAAATCAGTGTACACAGTGCATAGAAAGTTTTTTTCTCTCTCATGTATTATAACATGATAACAAGAGCCTTTCATTTTCTTCCTAGTCAGAAAAATTGAAGTGTCTGATATTGGGTTGTGGGCTGTCTTGGCCTGTAGTAAAAATGAACCAACAGAACTGGAAATGACAATTGTGTTATCACAGGAGGACTGAATAAAGCTGTTTTATGGTAGCAAATGAGGTGATGTGCATCATCTCAAATGTGTCATTGTATGAAAGAAACATTTCTTACTGCAGTCAAAAGCTGAAATGAACTTCAGTAAAGAGAAAATAATTTATTTACCTTTCTTCTCACCTTCACTTTTCACTGGAGCTGAAATAGGGGAAAAAATGCCATTCTTCATGTCTAAAATTAATGATAAATAATACCAACAGCATTTTTAACCTAAGTTATACAGAATGTCTGCCATGGATGGATCGCAAAACTCTTTACAAAGATTTACCCTCAGGGGAGGTATGTCTAATATTATATAAATACACCTCTACCCCGATATAACGCGACCCGATATAACACGAATTTGGATATAATGCGGTAAAGCAGTGCTCTGGGGTGAGTGGGGCTGCGCGTTTCGGCAGATCAAAGCAAGTTCAATATAACGCGGTAAGATTTTTTGGCTCCTGAGAACAGCGTTATATCGGGGTAGAGGTGTATTAATATTTACAGATGCAGAAATTGAGGTTCAGATTAAATGACTTGTCCAAAGGCATACAGCAGATCAGTGACAAGGATGGGAATAAAACTCAGGCCTACAGACTCTGACTGTAGAGGTTTAACCACAAGACAATCTTTCCTCCCTCTCATTTATATGCTGAGATAGACACACAGGATGAAGCCTTCAGAATAATCACTTCAGAAGGAAGATAAAATGGGGAAAGAAGATGGGGAAGTCTTTGAAGTATAGTCTGTGTTCCCTGTTTTACGAAATTCTGTGGTCTGTACTGTTATATTTTAACACTAGCAAAAAGTGCTTAACATATTGTAATAATAGTAACTAAAGTGATGTACAAGTAACAAAGTAAATACTTTAAAGTGGTGTTACTAAATAAATATATATATTTTCTTTAATTTAAAAGTATGCCCTCAATTTTCAGTTTTGAGTGGGGTTACAAAACCGCAACCAATGGCAAGGTTTGGGCTAAGTCCCGGGGAAAGTCATTTTGGGTAAAAATTTCAAAAGCTCCTAAGTAACTTAAAAACATAAGCCCCATTGAAAGTGGGTCCTGTGCTCCTCAGTCCCTAAGGCAGTTTTGAACATTCAGCCTAGGTGGTTAAATATGGATTTAGTAGCCTAACTTTAGGCACACAGGGCTGAAAATATTGGCTTTGGCTCCTAATTTAGGATCTGGTGCGAGTAGATATTCTGTATCTATCACCCATTGAAGTGTATAAACTGTTACCTGGTTTTGCTGGTTTTTCTTCTTTTTTGACTTCAGGTTCTGAGAAAAATATTAAGAAAAATATTTTTAGAAGTTAAAATGACAAAAACAAAAATTCATCCATTTCAATTTGTGTCTTATTTTTGTTACTCAGTTTTTATACCATCTCTCACCTAAAAAAGTGTGTTAGAATTGACAGTCCTGCAGTACTTCGAGTAAGATAATTAATAGTAATACATACTCCACTGTAATAATTTTATGTACTTATCAGTTGACTTATCTGAGGATGTCATCAATGCTTTACAGTTATTAATTCATTAAATCTCACACAATTCTGTAAAATGGATATTATTTATTTGTACCCATATTACAGATAGATAAAGTACACAGAAGTTAATTAGAACTTGCTACTGAGGGTTTTCAGTAAATTTCCCATATTCATTGCAAATTCTATGTACCTACAACTAGAATTAGGGAAGAAATGGTTTTTCTGTCCTGCAATGTTATTCACTATTTTTAAAGTTTTCCAATTCTGAATTGGGATGGAATTGAAACTTGTCAACAAAAAAATAAATGGAGAGCCCTTCTCACAGAATAACCATTCTTCCCCTCCCTCCCCCTTTTTTTTTAATTTTTTGGGTTGGCAAATATTTTTGTGATTTTTGACTTTTCATTCTGATTCAAGATGGGAAAATATTTCAAAATCTCAAAACGATTTACAGGACGGAAAACCATTTTCTATGCAGCTCTAAATTAAAGTTCTCTTAAGAAACTGGTAGGATCCTCTCATCAATCTAACTACCTTAATCTTCAGGGGAAGTTATTCTTCCACAGACATTAGTTCATATATTTACAGTATTACATTTGGCATTACCTATCATCCATTTTACCCACTGTTTTTAACCAGAAACTGTTTACTCTCTTGAGGCATGAACCTATAAAGCAGATCCTCAGCATAGCTACGCAGAAGGCAATGGAGTAATGCTAATTTACAGCAGCTGGGAATCTGTCCTATAGTGCAGATGGGTGAACCAGATCAGAGAAGGAAGGGAGGAAGAGAAAAAGCAAACACCACTGTCCAAAGACTGAAGTGAACTAAATAACACACTTTTAAGCTCAACACCAGTGCAGATAAATACCCTCTAACCAATCTTCAACATCCAACAACCTATGCTGAGACCCTGAAGTCTACTTTGGGTTTCCAAGCAGGCCTTAATGTCTCTGCTAGGCTGGCAGCTACCTTCAAATCTCTTTGGGCTGGACTTAGGTGGCTAGAGAAGCATGATGTATCTTGTAATGCCACTGATCAGCTGAAACTCCATAATATATGATATATGAAAAGAGCAGCCAGCCCTAGATTATTAGATATGCCAAGACCCTGGAGCAGACCGTGTGGTATATCTGAAAAAATATCCTGTTAATCTGTTGGCTACTGGGTGGGAACCTGGGCAAAAACTGAGAAACAGCAGGAATTACTAGGCCAGGCTGGAGGATTAGCCAGTGATCACTATGTTTGGAGGTGGAATGGTGGCAAGGGTTCTTGAAGCTGAGGTCACTATCAAGTCAGAATAAACTTATTGACCAGGTTCAAGGTTGGGGAGAGTCAGACGACTGAGAGCTTTGGTTCAATCTGTGAGCACAATGACCTTTGTAGATATGTGATCTTATATCCATTCCTATTGTGTATTATACTCACCTACTTTGTTTTAAGATTATAATTCCTTTAGGAGTAAGACCAGCCTAGCAGACTCTGGTCCTGATTCTGATTTGGGGCTCTAGTAATACAAATAAGTGCTAATGAATTAATGGAGAACATGGTTGAATTGAAGTGGAGGAGAGAAGAATGGAAGGAGGAGGGATGGATGTGTTGAGGTAGAAGAGAAATGACCTCTAAATGTTTGCATAAATTCAAATTAGTTTCAGATAAACATCTGAAGTTTGGAGGATATTTCTGAATTGAATCTCTGAATCTTCTGAGTTGGGGTCTGGCTGGCTATGCATTTAATGTATTGCATGCATTCACACCAGTGCAAAACTAATGCAAAATTGGTGTACAATCTTTTACTTCCACTAGACCAGGCCCATGAGTCTGGCTGAGCAGCACTCAGGACAGGGCTAGAGGGGAAGGGACAGAATTGGCTATATGCCACTTTTGCACTCCATTCCCAATATCTGTGGCTGGGAGATGATTCAAAGCTCAATCAGTCTTTGGCCCAATTTAGTGCAGCCTTAGGGTGTCTCTAAGCTATGTCACCAGGTAATGTCCCTCTGTCCCAAGGGGCCATTATTACAGCCAGACACATCCCAAACTTAGACGATATAAGTACCTGAATATTCCTCTGTACCAGACGGATCTTTGTGTAGCAGGAAAGCTGGTTATAGTGCTGCTGGTGTAGTGTAAGGGTGGCCTTGTGGAGGGTGGCGGGGTGTGGTCCATTTTCTACTCACTTTGCTTGAATGTAACTGACTGCACACATTTTGAAGCACTGGAGAATCAGGCTCTTGCCTTTCAGAAAATAGTCATTACAGTTGATTTTATTCCCTCTCCCCCACCCCCGCAAAGATGGGGTATCATATAGTAAAAACCTTGTTTGTTATCACAATTACCACAGATATTTCCTATTCAAAATATATAGTGAAAAATTGTTGTACTATCACTATATGGTGTCTATTTGCAAATCCTGTATTTTACCAGTGACCTGTATATAAGGGAATCAACTTTTTTTTTTCCTGATGACACGTACTGTAAATGCTCTACAAATCTCATGAGGCAGAAGAGACATCATGCTGACTACCATTGCCAATAGCATTTCTCTGATCAAATGCTCTGACTTAAACTTATAATGACAAGGAATAATGACCGAGTGCACAAAGACCATAATTCCAGGAGCTGAGCAATGAGTTTGAATCTTTTAAAAATGGATGGCTTATCTAGGGAATTTGGTCTGCACCGGATAAAAGCCAGCTTAATTTCTGAGAGCAAATGTGGGGTAATACATCTTTGCTGGACATGAAATTAGGGCAGGGGAGGGCATTAAATAAAGCAGAATGATGAATTGGGCAATACAAAACCTTTACCAGAAATGCTGTTGCCTGTTTTTATTCTTCCTGGATAAGACCATTTTGAGGAAAAAAATCCTGAGTTTAACTATCTAGCAAGCCCCATATATGTCAGACAGGAGTAAGTAGAGATGGGGTAAGTAATCTTTTAATCCTAGCATCTCCAGCTGATCACCAATCATTCAGTCCTCTTCCAAAACCATACAACTTGCTTATCATTCCTCCATTGATGGAAATACAAACATTACCAGTTAATTTAGACTGGATACAAAAGAAGGTAAACTTTAAATAAGAGCACACATTCCATTCTCAAGGCTCCCTAATCTAAGCTTGCATGTCTAGTAGGTACCACTCAGGAGCAAAAAACATAGGAATCCCCTCCTGTAGTTCTTAGGAACCTGGGAATTTTCATAGTGGATCAGATTCAAGGTCTATCTAGTCCTGTATCCTGTCAGTACCAGAGATTTCAGAGGAAAGTATAAGAAATCCACAGTAGGTAGATGTGGAATAATTTACCTCTACCTCTAACATAAATCCCATCTTGATCTCTAATATTTAGAGATTGGCTTAAGCCGTGAAGCATAAAGTTCAATAATCTTCCAAAAATTTGTTTTAATTAATTATGGAAATTTTTTATATTCTTGATATCTGCGTAAGTATCCAATCCTTTTGTGAATATTTTTAAGTTTTTGGTTTCCTGTAGTAATGAGTTCTAAGGTTTACTTACATGTTTCGTAAAAAAGTATCAGTTTTGAATTTCCCAACTTTTACTTTCATTGAATATCCCCTTGTTCTCATGTTATGAGACATGAAGAACAGAAGTTCCTGATCTCAATTCTCTATAATATTCATTATTTTATATACTTTGACCATGCCCCCTCTTATTCATTTCCTTTCTAAGGTAAACAA